ACAAATATATATATATATATATATATATATATATATATATATATATATATATGTAATATATAATATATGCGGTGTTATTTGTACATTTACTGGCTCGCATTTTATGATGTATAATTGTCAGGCATAAATATGAGATTAAAATATCCACATATAATAATAATAATAATAATATTTAAACAATTAAGATTAACTTTTTAAGAGCTCCCCAGCTCGTTTTAAGAATTAGGAACGCACATCTTCTCGCCCCCCAGTATAAGACAGGTGTCTTACGTTCTGCCTGCACCTCCACCCTCCCTCCTCCCTCCCTCCTCAATAGCCCACAAAAAGCAAGGCAGCGGCGTGTACGAGCGCGCTTTGGCCGCATTTCTAAATGAGGGTGTGTGTGTGTGTGTGTGTGGGGGGGGGGGGGGGTGCAGCTCAGCACAGCTCCGGCTGCAGTCTGACCACAGCTCCTCGTCCTCTCCCCAAGTCTCAGCGTCACGTGACGTCAATCAGCTCTTCTCTTTGTTTTCAGGCTCTTTGCAAAAGTTGCCTTGTTGTGCTTTTGTTGTTGTTGTTGTTGCTGTTGTTTTTCATTGCTCACTGCAGGTTTACAATAAACAGCTTCTCGCGTCCATCCACTCCCCCACCTCCCCCTCCCTCACCTCCGCCACCACCACTACCACCCCGCGCGCTCGGTTGGAGAGGAAGCTCTGGCAGCTTCAGTCCTGAGCTAAAACCCTTCTGAATCAGAGAGAAGATGCATCCTGCTCCGGACGAGCCAGCAGCGTTTGCCTTTGGTAGGTGTGTTGTTCCGAGCCTGCAGCCTCACCCGCATCACAACTTTATAACACGCTGCAAACTTGAGTCGTTCTGAAATAAACTGTAGCGGAGATGATCGGTCGTTGCGCACCGTGGGGTGTTTATTATAGGGACTTTTGCGGCAGAATAACTTTATTTCCCGCATTGAAAGACGTCGCCATAGTCCTCATGATAAAACAAAAATAAATAAATACTTACCATGTATTTAAGTGAAACCGGATCCATGGAAGAGTCGATATCTTGCAGAGTCTTTAGATTCTTTCTCCATCTGTAAACAAAACCGACAACAAAAAAACCCGTCATGTGTGTAAAATATATGTTGCTTCAGAACGAGATTAGATTGGGTCTAAATAACTTTAAAACCACCGCTGAGATCGAATGATATTTAAAAAAAAAAAGATAAATCCAGCTTTGGCAACTCTCTCTTTGTCTCTAAGCTGTGCCGTCCAGGTGATGTTAAACAGAATTAAAAGCGCCATGAGTTTAAAGTGCTGCTCCATGACAGAGACGAGACTGAGGCTGTGCTCCTCTAAATTGGATCTTATTTGAAGCGAGAACATTTCATGCGCTAGGGGGCGCCCATATACTGTACTACACTGAGACAATGCAAGATGAGCAGGAGGAGGAGGAGGAGGATCTCTGTCGGCTAACACAGTGACCTGGCTGGAAGTTCATCTCTGAAAGTTTTTTTTTTTTTTCTCCTGCAGTTCAGGTTTGACAGCGTGTTTGGTCAAAATGCAGCAGATTCGTTGCATTTTTGAAGAGCTGGAAGAAGCTGATGTCCATCAAACTCTTAAATACTGACACCGTCTATCATGCAGCATCCCTCACAGCATATGTTGTGAAGAAATCGCTGCACAAACCACAAAAGAAAGGCATGTTTTTTTTTGTTGAGCTTTGGTCTTAATAGAAATAAATGATAGGCGTGCGGAATTATCCTCTTTTTGGCTCTATAGTCTCTGTCCTTTTGTCAGCCCCCCCCCCCCCCACCACCCCCCCGGAGCTTAAATAAAATTCCAAATACTCTTAATAAAATTATATATTTTTCGCAGTTTTATATGCGAGGCTTCCGTGCACTTATTCTGAAATAACATGAACAGTCGCATACAGTGGGTTTGACTTATTATTATTTCCTCAGGTGTTCAGTCCAACATATTAAAAAAAAGATCAACTCTGTGATGTAGAGAATTCGTGCAACTCGTTTCAGGCAGCCTGCTTATTTTGCAAACTGCAGTTGCAGTGCAATATGAGTAAAACCTCTCTCTCATGTAAATGCGATTACAGGCTTGATATTTCTTTTACTGTCTGGGCGAGTTGAGAAAATATTCTGAACACGTCTCTCTTTAGGACCAAGCGGCCCTCTCGACCTCCGCGCCGGCTCTCTGGCAAAGAACCAAGTAGCACAAGTGCCGACTAGCCAATGGGGTTCAGGGGGCGGTCCCCGAGCTCTGACCAGTCAAACGCACTCTCCTTCCTTATATGGCAGCCCATCTCCATGGTAACGTGTGCTAAGTTGCAGCAGTCGTGTCAAAGTTCACTATATAGAGAGCTCAGTGAGCTGATCAGAGAGAAAGCATTCTGCCAGCCCGGCTCCTACCAATCGCAAATCACTTCCTAACCTCCGCCTTTTTAACATATTTCATCACTTTCATTCCCTTCTCCGACTATTTTCCAGCGCACGGAAGAAGGTTTTTGTTTGCAGGTTGTGATCTTTAGTGCTTTTTTTTTGTTTGTTGTGTTTGTTTTTGCGCTGAGGGAGAGTTGCCTTCATATTCCCAAGCTCTCCAAACATTTGGCATCATCTTGCGCGCGTTGCTGGCGCCAACAACACGAGGAGGAAAAAAAGGGGAAGATTTGCTTCCCCCACCACCACCACCACCCCCCCCTCCCTATCTTAACCAGTTTTCTCCAAGACTTGGGCTGGAACTTGATAATAAGCTGCTCACCAATTGTTTCATGCTGCTGCTGCTGCTGCTGCTGTGGGGAGCGGTCTTCTCAGCCGGCTCCATCCTCCTCTGAACAGTCCATGCTACCTCGGTTGATTCTTTCTGAGACACTGAAGCCACCTTCCCTCATTGATGGGCGTACTGGATGGCTGACTGGAAGCGCCCCTGGACTTGGCCTCTAAGCGCAAGGCAGCCGCTCCGCTCGCCATCGCGTCAGCTCTGAAGAACAAGACGAAGACGAAGAGGGAGAAGAACGTGCCTCCCGGCGCCTCCAGCACCAACAAATCCGACACTTGTCCCGGAGATCCCGAGTGAAGTCACCGTCGGCTGTGTTGGACATTCCGTGTCCGGCTCCTCAGTCCCAGTTTCCTCCAGACATCCTCCACCGCGACACCAAAACGGCAGACAAAAAGTTTCTCTCCGTTGACTCATAGATATGGCAATGGTAGCGTGGAGAGGCTCCCAGGACGATGTGGCTGACACCCAAGGCGCCCTTTCCTCGCAAACCCAAGGCGGACTGTCCCTGCCCACCCCGCAGCCGGGCCAGCTGAGCCTGACAGCCTCGCAGATCGCAGCTCCGACCCCCCAGACCCCCGTGCAGGGACCCCCGAACAACGCGCAGTCCACGCCGACGAACCAGACGACGCAGCAGTCGGAGAAGCAGCCGCAGCACATCGAGTGCGTGGTGTGCGGGGACAAATCCAGCGGCAAGCACTACGGCCAGTTCACCTGCGAGGGCTGCAAGAGCTTCTTCAAGCGGAGCGTGCGGCGGAACCTCACCTACACGTGCCGCGCCAACAGGAATTGTCCAATCGACCAGCACCACCGCAATCAGTGTCAATACTGCCGCCTCAAAAAATGCCTTAAAGTCGGCATGAGACGGGAAGGTATTGGGATTTCTTGTTTTTCTTATTATTTATGCGTGCGTGTGTGCGTGTTGGCTCCCACACTTATCATGTCGCCCACCATAGTCTGTTCTTTTTTTCCCCCGTCAAGGGTGGTGCGCGAGGAGCGGAGCAATGGAGCCGCTGTGTTGTGGTCGACACGGGTGGGGGGTGGGGGGGAGCTTTAAGCTGTGTATTTACATGTAGCTCAACACACCCCAGCCAAAAAAATAAATAAATAGTTAAATAAAATATCAAATCCCCCCCACCCCCCCTTCCCCCGCTCATGGCTAAAGACGCACCGACTCACGCGTGGAAACGCGTCCGGGTCTAAACAAATCGTTGCCTCCTGCATGCGCTATTATGGCGAATTAGGAGAGAGAGAGAGAGCGCGCGCGTGCTCCGCTCAGGCTCCATCTATTATCTAGCCCGGCTGCTGTCGTTAGCAGGAGCATGTGCACGCCAAAGCTGCGCGGAAAAAAAAAGACAAATAAACGTGGCGAAACAAAAACAGGAAATGCTTCCAAATTGTAGTTTTATCCAGAGCAGGCCGCGTGCGCGCGTGTGTGCCAGTGGAACGAGCTGAATTGCTAAGTGGGTTAAACATGCAATGTGCCTCTTTGTGTCCCCTCACAGGCTGCTAATGTTGCTGGATGAGATCATTTTTAAAGCCAAAGTGACTGAGTTCAGTGCAAAATGTCATATTTTTGTTTAAAAACGTGATATATTTTATAATTATAATTATTATTATTATTATTAATATAAAGGTGGTGTGGATTAAATGTGTGTGAGAGTGTGCTGTGATTATAGCATTTATGCTGTGTGTGTTCACATAATTAATTTTGAGTATTTAATATAAAGTGTACCCTAAATGTTCTAAGTGGTTTGTAGAATTCAGGCTTCAATATCTGTAGTTTCTCTTTTTACTGCAGCCGTGCAAAGGGGACGGGTGCCACCCACGCAGCCACACCACGGTCAGTTCGCCCTGACAAATGGAGACCCACTCCACTGCCATTCCTACTTATCCGGATATATCTCTCTTCTGTTGAGAGCGGAGCCTTACCCCACGTCCCGCTATGGCAGCCAGTGCATGCAGCCCAACAACATCATGGGCATCGAGAACATTTGCGAACTCGCGGCCAGGATGCTATTCAGCGCCGTGGAGTGGGCCAGGAATATTCCCTTCTTCCCAGACCTTCAGATCACAGACCAGGTGGCTCTGCTGAGGTTGACGTGGAGTGAGTTATTCGTGCTCAACGCGGCGCAGTGCTCCATGCCCCTGCATGTGGCCCCGCTCCTGGCGGCCGCTGGCCTGCACGCCTCCCCCATGTCCGCGGACAGAGTGGTGGCCTTCATGGACCACATTAGGATCTTCCAGGAGCAAGTGGAGAAGCTCAAAGCTTTGCACGTTGACTCTGCTGAATATAGCTGCTTAAAGGCCATTGTGCTCTTCACCACAGGTAAGACATTGGCACGCTCAAGTTCAGAGACACGTCACTAACCTGCGCGCACGCACATCACAAACACTGTGACCTGCTTCAAGCTGTTGCTTCTGTCAGACACGCCTCCTTAAAATATTTGTCTTTATGGTCAAAATCTTTTGGATGAATATGAAATTATTCATTTAGACAAATGCACAAGGATGAAGTCACCAATAATTATATTTATGTTTACAACACAACAAATAACCTGGCAGTTTGATTGATTGATTGGGAAATACAAAATCAATGCAAAGCAGCAGGTAGAATTAAAAATAATCTTAATGTAGAGAACCCTGCAGATGATTTTCTTACACTTGCAGCCATTCATCAATGTGTTTGAAGCCCGAGTCTTGTTTGTAGGAAATGACAGATATAAATGATGTCAGGCTCTGAGGGGGTGGGGGGGTGGGGGGAGGGGTGCAGGGGGGGAAAGGGAGAAAAGAAAAAGACGAGCCCAATATCCTTTTTGTGCTTAAGAGCATGCAAAGGTTTCTGTCATTTGGGGAGGGGGGGGGGGGGGTAGAGAAAAAGCAATGCAGAAGCCACACAGTAATTGCACATATGTGGCCACGCAGTGTCTTTAATAGTGCACGTGATGATGAGCGGTGACAGGAGAGGCTGATCTTTTATTTGCAGAAATAAAATTAAAAAACACGCTCACGCGCCTTCAAGGCTTCATGCACTTCTTCCTGGACTTGCTCCAGGACGGGGTCATGACCCCGAACTTCCCAGCTGTTTTGTTTTGTTTCATATTTGCAAAGTTTGCCGCAGCCTTAAAGCAGCATTTAAAATAAAACATTATTCATAATAAAAGTGCAGCGTTTGAGCGATGAGATGACGTCAGCGCGTGCTCTTCTCCTCACTTATATGAACTTGTTGGCTCAAAAAAAAAAAGTCCCATTTCAGGTGATTGGGTTTGATTCTTCTTCTGTTCTGGGGCCCAGCGGGACTGAATCTGTCTCCGTGAACATGAGCTGCGTGTGTTGCATTCACTGACACGCCTTTTTCCTGCTACTTTAGCTGCTGCTTGTTGTCATGCAGAAACTTTACAAACTTATCCGAGGCGCGTACATGTGCTCCTGGCACATCCTCAGCTGCCGCCCACATCGCAGCAGCAGATACACATTTACTTGTTCTGACGGTATAATATGACGGATATTCCGTAGGCTATACCCCCCCCCCCCCCCCCCACACACACACACACACACCACCACCATTTTTTTCCCAGCTAAATCTCAGCTCACTAAAGGTCAGTAGGTCTCGCTGTCTTTCTCTCTCCCCCTCCTCCTCCTCCTCCTTCTCTCCCTCCTCCTGACTGAGGAAGACTCAGCGTTCAGATATGAATATGCTCAATTATTTACTTTTAAATCCAGAGATGTAACGTGGAAGAAATAATAATAATAATAATAATAATAATAATAATAATAATAAAAGGAGGAGGAGGACATTTAAAAAAAAAAGTGGGATAGTGGAAGGATCAAATCGGTTTAATTGTGAACAAATGATGAAATTACAATCAGATGTAAAACAACTTTCACCTGCTCTAATTGATATGATTTATAACGTGCCTTTATAATTCATTAAATGTTATTATTATTATTATTGCACAGCTATCATCACCTCAATGGGAATACAGGCTCCTGGTGAGAGAAACAGTTTATTAATGTTTATTTGCTTTCCACCCCTTCCCCTCCCTCCCTCCCTCCCCCCTCCTCCCCCACCTCTCAGATGCTTGTGGCCTCTCAGATGTGGCCCATGTGGAAAGTTTGCAGGAGAAGTCCCAGTGCGCCCTGGAGGAATATGTCCGGAGCCAGTACCCCAACCAGCCGACTCGGTTCGGGAAGTTGTTACTCCGCCTGCCCTCCCTCCGCACCGTCTCCTCCTCCGTCATAGAACAGTTATTTTTCGTCCGATTGGTAGGTAAAACCCCCATTGAAACTCTCATCAGGGATATGTTGCTGTCCGGGAGCAGTTTTAACTGGCCTTACATGTCAATTCAGTAAAAACGAAAGACTAACAAAAGGTGGAGGGACTGATGAAAACCCGGGGAGGGGGCTACAATGATTATAGCTGCTTTTGTGGAAGGAATAAGAAAAAAAAAAAAAAAAAAAACCCGGCTGTTACACGGGGCTGGCTTTTATGAAGAAAGACATTAAAGACTGTGACACCCCCCCACCCACCACCACCACCACCCCCCGTTGCCCCCACCCTCCTCTTTACCCCGACAAAAAAAAAAACAGAAAGAAAAATTAAGACATCCACTGAACTTTCAAAATACAAGCTCCAGTTCACCTGTTTTTTTGTTGTTGTTGTTTTTTAATAATGAAAGAAGAAATCCTTTAAAAACAAGAGAAGAGGGGAGAAGGGATTCTGTTGTCCTTATGAGGAAATTTTAAGTATTAAGTGCATTTAAAAATAGAAAAATGTGGGTATAAAAAGACAAAAAAAATTGAAGAAAGGGGAAAAAAAAAATTCACCTGACTTTTATTTTATTTTATTCTTTTGGTCCTGTGTCCATGTATCTAGCTGTGTTTTTGTACTTTCTTTGTTCCTCCTTTCTGGTTACAAACCGGTGGTTTCTGTAGTATACAGGTGGTGTTCTTTTTTACGATTTATTTTGAAATGGTGAAATAATGTAAAGAATAAAAACCTTAGTTCTAAACAGAATTAAAACCACAGCAATAGGAGAATATGTGATCTGGGCTTAACGCTGCAAGCGCACTTATTCACAATTTTTAGGCGGGGAACTAAGAATTGGATGTTTAACTTCATTGAAACATTTTTTTTATGAAGCTACATTTATTATTAATAATATTATTATTATTCCATTAAAAGCCTCTTATCAATTGGGATCATCATTGGACGCTCGCAGAACACAATTTAAACTGTTTGGCAAAAATGTGCCCCCTGATTTCATTCAGCTCTTAATGTCATGGCATCACTTCTTAAATTGGATATGAATAAACAAGAAAGAAAGAAATTAAAAACAAGTAAAGCATGCTGTTATTTAAAAACTAGAAGAAAAGAAATTTGGAAATAGGTTGCTCCAAACGCATTGAGAAGCATTTTTTTTTTTTTTTTTTTTGTAATTGCACATAAAAGCTTCTTTTCCTCTAAAAATAAAAAATAAAGTTAAAGAGGTCAAAGGTCATACAATTTCCAAGTCTTAGCCAGCGTAGTATTTAAACCGCAGTATTATTCAAGCGTCCCTGAACGTGTCACCCTTTCGAGCAGTAAGTGCCTGACAATGATGTGACTTCTTATCCAAAACGTTAAGAAATAAATTAAAAACAGACCTGCAACATTTTATTATTATTATGTTTTATTTGATTATGGGAAGAAGGGTGGGGGGAAGCGATTAGATTTCACTTGAAAACACTGATTTAGAACCAGTATTCTTGTAAATATATAGGTCAGCTCATTTCAACATGTTTTTGTTCCTTTCTACAAAGAAATATGTGATTAAGAAGAAAAAAAAATCTGTGGTTGCCATTTTTTTTTTTTTTTCCTCTCAGTAATACGACGTCTTCGGAATTGAGTGGCAGACTTAGCTAGTAGCACTGAAAAGTTCTGTTTTTAATGTATATACATATTATTACAAATGTTTTTTTTTTCTTTCTCATGTATATTTAGACTGTGAATGCATGGCCACAGGTCGCTAACCTATTTTACCTTTGATATATAAATGTAAATGTTTTCTCTCTCTCTTTTTTTTTTTTCTTCTCCTGATTGTATAGATATAATCTGTGCATTCTAGCCCTTGTATTTAAAAAAAAAAAGAAACAGGGACAAAAAAAAAGGTAAATGAGCGTTCATTATTAGGCTGCAGACTTAAACAGGGTGAGCAGGTTTTTGGAGGAAGAAGAAGATGATGAAGAAGGAAAAAAAGGAGCTGATATTTTAACTTTAGTGTTATTGCTCCTTTTTTTTAAAATGTCTTTGACAGGTGCCGTGGTGTGTGTGTGTGTGTGTGTGAGAGAGAGAGTGTGTGTGTGGAAGCTGCGTTTTGTCCTTGTTTTGAGGCTTTTCTTCAACAAACAGATAGAAAAACAAAGAAAAGAATAAAAAAATAAAAAAAAAAACGCCATGTTGTTGAACTGAAAGGGATTGAACACTGATCTTTGGACCAGAGAATGATACATGATTGTAAAATTATGAACAGTTTAAACTGACCCACGTTTTTATATAAATAAATAAAAATATATGACTGCAGGGTATTGATAACGTATAGATACTTTTTTATGACTATTATTATTATTATCATCCTTATTATTATTATTATTATTATTATTAATTGCAAGTGATATATGTGAGTGTGCGTGAAAGTTTATAGTTGAACACAATTCTTGTTTGTTTGTGTTAGCTTATTGTAAACAAGCATTCTGCTGTAAATTTGTTCTTGGTATTAAATTATAATTTATGAATTTGAACATTTTTGGAATTATTTTTTTTATTTTCTTATTTTTTTTGCATCCCCAATCTTGTGCGCCCCACAACCCTCTGTGCGTGTGTGCGTGCGTGTTGTGTGTGTGTGTGTTTGAGGGAGGAAGAAAAGAAAAAAAAAGAGGTGGTGGTGGCATGTGTGGTGGTGGTGGGGGTGGTGGTGGTGGGGGGGGGACTGGAGTCAATTTGCTGTAGCAGGATGTTGCCCTTTTGCCCCTTGAAAGTGATTAATGAATGACAAAATAATTAATCAATCAGGCAACAGGGCTGCTCGAGGCGTGAGGGCTGCATGCGAAATTTGAAAAAGAAATAAATACAATTTACTACGACAGTATAGAATAATAATAAGAATAATATTTTCTTTCTGGTAAACCTGAGAGCTATGACTTCTACATACATATCAAGAGAGGGTGAGTTCAGGAAACATCCCCAGTGCCCTTTTCTTTTATTTGTGGAATCCAGTTCCACCTCTGTGCTCTCACATCAACATTAGTGGAGCGAATTATTCCGTTTTACACCGAGGAGCATCAAAATAAGATACGCCTTATTGAGAAGAAGAAGAAAATATAAATATATATTTAAAAAATGTCTGCAAACTAATTCTCCTTTATTTCCCACTCAGCTTCAGTTCCTGAACACATCACATCTGT